ACCATGTGGTGTACTAAAGGACTAGACATAAACATCAACTGGTTAATAAGGCACTACAAATAAAACATTTCCAAAATATATCAGGTTTGTTCACTTTTTGATAGAAACAATTTTGGTTAAAGAGAAAGAATGTTCGGAAAGAAATATCCAAATATATTTTAATATATTGATGCTCAATATTATAGAGACTTGAGTACGGAGATATAAACTATACCTAACGTAAAATTCTTTTGATATCAGCTGAGAAGCTTCGTACAATTATTAATATTCATAAACATTCAACGCATGTTGTCTGACAGTAAATATTCGTATACAGATTTAAAAATATTGAAAAATACCTTTAGGGCAGGCATGTATGTCCCTAACACATACGTGGAATACTTCTCTGTCACAAAATAGTTTTTATACTTTCAAGAAGGTATAATTTAACTTGTATATAGGCATAATGACTGCAGTCAGGAATAATTTATTTAAACAAAGTAGCACAAGAGATCCAAAATTGTTTCTGAAAATATTGTTTTAGAAACGACATTATCACAATAAGAAATTGCTGTCATTTGCCCATTTAAACGAATCGGGAATATTCAGGTAATTATCATCTCCGGAGATGAAAACAAAAATATAGTAAAAACTTATAGTAAAAATGTCTAGGCAAACTTTTGTGAGTTATTAAAAGAGAACTTCTTTCACGGCCTTTATGAAATATTTAAACATTATCCAAGCATTAACGGAAAACTAATTGAAATCAATTACGCCAAAGGATTAGAGGGATAATCCAACCGTGACTTTTGGTAGGAGTGACCTTATAACTATAAATACCTACAATTACAAATAAAGAAAATCCCGAGAAAAGTCAATCTCTCTTTAAAGCAATGAAAACAAATAATTCTGAATTCGTTAAAATCACGGACTCTTGAGTCATATCTAGAAACGAGAACTTACTGCTAGACTCCTTGTCGGTGGTCCTATATTTAGGGATGTCTTCATTGAATGCTGCCCTTCCTTGTTGATCTTGTTTCTCGTAGTTAAAGTGACATTATGCCCATCCAAGGGTGAGTGCACATGTGAATATATAAATAGGTTTTCATTTTGGAATAATTCCTTTTGATTTCATAATTTACTTCGCAAAAATAATAAAAATATCACGGATTTTAAGGAATTTTCTGTAAATATCCATATACCTTTCAGTTTATAAAAAAGAGTGGGGCAGTCTTTTTATATTTAATGCAGATTTATTATTTTATCCTTAACATTTTCAAATATCACCTGTTGGTCAAACACCATTTTAATTGTCAAAAATATCAATATAATTGAAATATAAAGTCAATTTAGCTCAACTTGACTATGAAAATACGAGCATAATGTCACTTTAACAATGATGTAAAAATAATTAATATGTTGTCAAACTATTGTAGTTTCTTTTGCCTCGCATAAGGAAGATAAACTATTCATTCTAAATCTTAAATGATAACTAAGTTACTGGTCTTTGTGTGATAGTTGCAAAAGCTGTGAAACAACGTTTGGTTGCTGTTACAAAAAATGTTCACCAACAACAGGAATCATTTCAATTTAAACATATTAATCTCACATTTGCCTGCTGCTTTAATTCAAATTTATAAGGAATATATATTTAAATCCTTACAAACGCCAAAATCTCAACATTAAAAATGTTGAAGGCTTGGTTTTATTCGACCTCATTTATGGACAATAGTTGATGAAACTGCAAGTTACCGTCCGTGCCCCCTTACACGGGCTTAAACAGAATTAAACATTTTACGAGACAATGTGAAAGACTCCCGCTTATGTTTTATACACCGGTGTTTTTGGAATCTTCGAAAACATACTTTCGTGCCAGCCCACTTAAGGCGGCATAAGGGCAACAAGTAAAAGAATACGCGTGTTCTTAACGATTAAATAATTGAAGATATAAAATAAAATGCAATTATGAAAAGGTATCATGGGTTACTAAGCCTGCACAAACTGACGCCCAAAGACAAAATTTAAAAAAAATCATGATCATTGCAGTATATTTTATTTGCGAATATTTCAAAATTATATATTTTTCACCATAATCATAAATGCCGTACATGATAATGCCCTGTTCAAACTGGTGTTAGGATGCTTGGACTTCACTTTCTAATAATAAAAAAATCCATGTCACTGTTACATAATGGCCAGTTTTATGGGTTTATGTTTCGTTTTATAGAACGCATAAAATAGAACGTGAGTTTCACTTAAAAAGCCAAAAAGTATTGAAGTTACTGTCCATAAACGAAAGCCAACGCCTACATCGATAAGTTGTTCAATATAAAACTTCCGCTTTTCCTCTAATATTGTATGAATTAGTACAATAGTGCTAACTAAAACCATTCATAAATCGAAGAATGTAAATATGTTGAATAGTAAAACGATTCCTAAGTTGCAAGCGTAAGTCTTCTCGGTAACGATGTACTCATTTGGCATTGATATTGTCGTCAATTACTCCTGTTTGATTGTAATTTACTCCTTTTTCGTTGCTTTTAGTTACAACTGCAAACTTCAAACAAAAGGGAAATACATTTTCAAAAGTCTCAGTATTTTCTCTTAAAAAGGTAAGTTTTCATAGCAGCATTCCCATCTATATCAATCTGCTAAGATTTTGAAAATATCTGCATAAGTTGTCGGCAGATATTCACTTTGAAAAGGGGATATGTCTTGCCTAAAATGTGTATTCTTAAGGATTCTAGACTGTACAGCTACATGTCAAAGTATTTTGTAACTTTACATATCGACATGTTGTAGATGAGTAAAATGTTTCACACATAAGACAACAATCGTGAGATAATATTCTTTTCAGACATAGTTTTAGCTTTATGAAATAATTTATGTTGTCCACATTACTTTAGCTCGTGTTGATATGCCGGTCAATATATTTACACGGATATAGAAAATACATGGTTGATGTCGGGATGGAGATGTTTTATCCGGTGAGCGAGAAAGTGTATCTTGGCGAGCTTTAGCTTTAAACCATCTCCATCCCGACATTAACCATGTATTTGAGTTATCCTGCTTTTAATCATCTTTTTAGAATAATTAAATTGTTTCATTCTTCTTTTTCCCCGATAAAATAGCATCTACATTTGTATATGTAGTTTTGTTTTGCTGCTAAACATGTGACGTCATCATATGACGTAATGATGGAGATAGATAAGTTTATATGGCAAGGCTTTATCCAGCTGATGATATAGACAGTAGCAGGATACATTGCTGTTTTGAGAACTTAATTTAAAAGTTAAAATAAGTAGATTACTTCATTGTCTCAAAATTTAGGGTTGTTCGACAAAATTAAAGTTGTTGGTAGTTAATCGTCGGTTACCCAGGCTATTTACTGTCGTATATAAGGAATGTGAACCGTGGGTTCCGACGCTGATAGTCGCAAGTTTAAAAAGTCCTCTACGAAGTTCATTGTATGTGTGACCGTTATTGAACCTGCTGATAATGAATAAACACATGTACAGTCTGTAACTCGAGTACTCTAGGTCATGAGAGATCATCAAGTCCTACATTTGTTACGTCCCTTTGAAATACTATTCAATCTATAACACAAAAATAACTGTAATCGATGGATATGCCAGCAATGACGTCAGATAAAAGGTGACAGTGAACAAAAATCAATCGACATCTTTATTCAGTATTGATATATTGGAAAAAGAATGATTCATTGAAACCAGTAAAAAAAACAAGAACAATTTGGTAAGAACTACAAACCCAGTTTTATTGACTCTTATTCAGTTATTTTTTGACAGTTAATTTTGCGTTATTTATGTAAAATGTTTTCGTTAGCAGACTCAAATTCAAATTCATTCTTAATAAGATAATCGTCATTGCATATTTGCAGTTTAAATTGTTATTCATATCAAACTATCAATTATAATTTAATTATAACAGTACATTTTTTGACATAATAATTGTTATAATTAAACAACCTGGAATGTTTTATAGAGCCGTCATAACCGTAGATAATGAGTGCATACTGAATCCTGTTCTGGAACTTCCCCCGCATAATTTCTTTTTTCATTGATGACATTGAAGATAGATCATTAACGTAGCATCATTACAATTCTAATTTATAAACGTTAAGGTAAAGATAAGCCTTTCTTTCCTGTCCAGTTAAAGGTTTCTCAGTGTAGAACACCTAATTATACCACTGGATTATACCACCACAGTATGCAATTTGAAGCAAACTGATTCCTATCTTCTAGCGGGTAAGGATTTCTAAACAAACTTCATAAAAATCTAATTAAATTTTGTCACCATTATATTAAGTTATTGCGTCATAAAATAGAATGAAACAGACATAAAATAAGTAAATTTTGAAACTTTGAAACATGTTGACAAATTTTAATGTACTGGTATAGTAATATAATCAGATTTCCAAACAATACACCTATACCGTATGTTTAAACATAAGAACCAACAAGATCAGAAGAAGAATTGACATTTGCCTTGTTGATCTTTATTCTCGTTTTCTATTTAGTATAATAGATCCAGGTGTTTTGACATGTAGTTACTCCAAACACCCTGTCAACACTTTATAATATACATGTACATTTAATGTGTGGCTGTTGTGATGTGTAGTAAACTGAGCGACCTGTCATGACCAGATTATTTAAGTATATAAAAAAAGTTTGCTGACTTCTACCTATATGTACATACAATTAAATCAAGCAAATCGATGTACATTCATATGCATTTCAATCATTTATATTGTAAATTGAATACTTTGATTTGTTACAAATGTTACTAGTAGTATCTTTCTGCATAATATTATCAATTTTTGATTAGTCAAGAACGGTGTACTTATTCTTTAAGAAGGGTGAGAAATAAATACGCATTCTAATCTATGTAGTCGGACTATTGACGGATTTGACAGTAAGCAAAGCATAGGGTGCAACATTACGGTAATCATAGAAATAATTGCTTAGGTAAAAAACAACCACAAAAAAACATACAACCGCTAAGCACAAAAAGAGATGCGTAAAGCGGATAATGAAATCGGTGTGTGTAACCAAAGTATTAACAATTCCTTTAAAGCATCACTCTAGCTGTTATTTATCAATACCGTTTGTAATTTAGGTTATTCTTTATGGCATCAACCGCAAGTACTTGAGTTATTTTAACTGGTTTGTCCCTATGCTGTTTTTCTGCTCTTTTGCCCCAAACCTTCGAATAGGTATAAAATAACATAAAGTTATTAACAAATATAGGGATGATGACAGCGATCAGGCAAACGCCACTTATAGCGCAAAAGACTCCAACTGTTTTCGACAATGTTGTTTTGGGTACGACATCACCATAACCAACAGTTGTCATGGTTACAATCGCCCACCAAAATGAATCGGGAATATTCGGGAAATTGTCGTCTCCGGAGAAGAAAACAAACGTAGAGAAAACAAGCATAGCTACAAATAAAAACAGGGACATTAACATAAGTTCTTTGAAACTTGCTTTAAATGCGTATAAAAGAACACGGAAACCGATGAAATTCTTGACAAGACGGAAAAGCCGAAAGATTCGAACAATTTGAAGACAATGCAATATATCTAGAACAGATGCTTCGTATTTCTCTTTGGGAAAAATTGTCTCGATTGTGTATTTTAAATACATAACCGCTAATGCAAAAACATCTACCCAATGGAGAAATGAGAAGATCAGTTGAAATCGGAAAGGACAAAATATCAACCTTACAATCAGATCCAGAGTAAATAAAGCAATACACGTAAACTCTAGTATGTCAAGAAAAAAGTATCGAGCAAACGCATTTTCTGGTGCAGCAAATTCGTTTTCCTCACTTGCAGGCTCTGATGTAACTTCCGGTTCAGATATTACTTCCGGTTCAGCTGTTGATTCGGGTTCAGATGTTACTTCCGGTTCAGCTGTTGGTTCAGATGTTACTTCCGGTTCAGCTGTTGATTCAGGTTCAGATGTTACTTCCGGTTCGGCTGTTGATTCAGGTTCAGATGTAACTTCTGGTTCAGCTGTTGATTCAGGTTCGGATGTTACTTCCGGTTCAGCTGTTGATTCAGGTTCGGATGTTTCTTCAAGTTCAGCTGTTGATTCTGGTTCAGAATTACCTAGGAAATAGCTTTTGTATTTATACCATTCGTCTCCATAGTATATTTGCCATTCTTTGATATTCAAAGGTCTTTGAAATGAATGATGAGTTCCAGCAATCAATGCAAAAAGCGATACAGTGATCAGTATGGCACTGAAGATGAAGTATACCTGCAAAAAAGTAATTGCTTAAGATAAAAAGATTATCAAAGAAATATATTTAATATATACAGACGCAAAAAAAGAAAGTATGCACTTTGAAATTTCCATATTTTTTTGGGATTATCCGGAATAACTTGGTGAATTATTATCTCTATCTAAATACAAGCGCTTTTGCCTACTTATTGCAATAAATTAAACGACATTTTATCGGATATTTTACCTCAATATGGCTTCTTACGTCTGGGCGAAGCGTCACTGACTTTGCGAGACAATTTTTCTGCCTTTACAAAACAATTATCTATCTGCAGCAGCGTTTTCTACAATCTGGAAGTTTAAGAGATACCGTTCGTTCAGAAAGGAAACACTACGAAAGACCGGTAGGGCCATTTCAACTTCATGAATTCCCGATTTCATCTTCATGAATTCACAATTTAAACTTCGTGAATTCCCGTTTTCAAAATACGGAATTCACGATTCAGCTTCATGAATTCACAACTTCAACTTCACGAATTCACGATTTCAACTTCATGAATTCACGATTTCATTTTCAAGAATTCGTGAATTCACGATTTCAACTTCACGAATTCACGATTTCAACTTCATGAATTCACGATTTCAACTTCATGAATTCACGATATCAACTTCATGAATTCAACTTCGTGAATTCACGATTTGATTTCAACTTTACGAATTCACGATTTAAACTTCACGAATTCACGATTTAAACTTCATGAATTCACGATTTCAACTTCATGAATTCAACTTCGTGAATTCACGATTTCAACTTCACGAATTCACAATTTAAACTTCATGAATTCACGATTTCAACTTCAAGTACTCAACTTCGTGAATTCACGATTTCAACTTCACGAATTCACGATTTCAACTTCATGAATTCACGATTTCAACTTCATGAATTCACGATTTCAACTTCACGAATTCACGATTTCAACTTCATGAATTCACGATTTCAACTTCATGAATTCACGATTTCAACTTCACGAATTCACGATATCAACTTCATGAATTCACGATATCAACTTCATGAATTCAACTTCGTGAATTCACGATTTCAACTTCACGAATTCACGATTTCAACTTCACGAATTCACGATTTAAACTTCACGAATTTACGATTTAAACTTCACGAATTTACGATTTCAACTTCATGACTACATTACGTCAACGCATCTACATTACAGCTTTTAAACCGCTACAAGCACCGCGAGACAATTTGTTGTATCTAGACAAACCTTTCTGAATCGTTTGAGGCGGCCATACGTAGGCCAGATTATTAATCCTTGGGATATTATGGACTCAACGTCATTATCGTTGGACGCGTGCCCAGTAATCAAAAGAATTGTTTAGATGGTAAAGCACCCATTTTTGCCGTCGAGGTGAACGTTTTGCAAATAATTGCTTGTTTGAGTGGATTCGAATTGTCGGAAGCAGCGTTATGGTTTTGGGCAGGATAATGTGTTACAGAAATACAAAATTAGTCTTAATTACAGGTAATTACAGGTTATCGGAATGTCCAAAGTTATATTGACAGTTTTCTGCCAAGTGACCTTCCTTTTTGCGTCAGCAGCAAGGTTTATTTAACCACGATAATGGCAGGTCACAACATGCTAGGGGAACGCAAAATTACCTCGATAGATACAATGTTAACGTGCTACAATGGCCGGTTTACTCAAAGGACATGTATCTCATTGAGCTCATATAGGATCTTTTTGGACCGATGGAAAAAAGAAAGGACGTTACTAAAATCAATCGTGATCATACACTTACTCTTGCCTAAAAATGGTATACTTTACAATTAACGTCATTCGGCGTGACGTTAGGTCGATGCGACGAGAATTATCGCTTTGATTCATAGAAGAGATGGACATCATCGGTATTGAAGAAATTTTAGAAATTGAAAGACGTTTACAAAAAATATTATCAAGATATTTACATAAAGATTCCAATTTAAAAAATGCGAATTTTTAATTTGATTTCTTATGCGTTATCGGTAAAAATATGAAAACAACAGCGGCGTTTATCTTTCATTATGACAGAAAATACTGTATCATGTGTTATGTGTTTTGGCGAATAAATATTACAGATTGCGGTACCAAATATTTCAGTATTCTTATAATATCCTGAAGCAAAATAGTAAAACCAAAGTGCAAAGTTTCTTTTTTAACGTCAGTATACCTGGAAGACAAATTGTAACTTTTGATGTTTTTGATAAAAATCAATACTTTGTCCTGTTTAAACCATTTATGATATATTTGATATTAATAATTTAAACTTAACTGAAATAATAAATTTGTTGATATTAACCAACACAAAAATTTTCATTTCAACTATTTTACTGCTATCTGAAAGAATTTAGATAAAGAAACCCTTCATAAACTACAATCGTCAAAATAGCTATATATGTGAGACGGTATGGATAAGCAACAATTAATAGAGATGTGATACTTTAGATTATTATGGATATGGTGTAAAATTATTATTGTCCTATAACAAACATTCGTAAATGAAGTTTAGAAATCAAAGCTTAAGCGTAATTTCTGATGTGAAGACGATATTTCCGAGCTGATTGAAATCCTAAAGGTCAAAAAGTGCATTCACAAGTCAATATTTACGGATGTTAGAAGTTGCCAGAAAAAAACAACAAAACATTATATTGCTTGGTATTTTATAGTTAGATATTGATGTAATCTCTAAGGATCTTAAAAATCAACACACCTCCAAATCAAAAGGAATATTTATCAAAAGGCACATGTGAACTGTTAAGATCGCTGTTCCAAAGCGTCTTCATCCCCTCATTCGTTACTTTGGTCTAAAGGAGATTTACCTTAACGTTTTCCGAAAATGCATCTTGATATGTTTTACAGAGTTTATTGATGGGTTTAATTACATCTAAATTAAATATGCATGTTACTTGAGATGTCAGTTATGCTAACCTTCCCCATGTTAAAGACTTACTCCAAATGGAAGATAAGATAAACACTTATACCATCTCATTGTTTTCCTAAATGAAAAATACACAGAAAGAAGACTGCAAGTAATACGACAAAATGTGCAATAGAACAATATCTGCCGTTTGGAGTTTAATAAATATCAGGTGAATGCTCTGTTCAAAGTCTGGAACTTTTCAGTGGTTTGTTCAAGCTTTTCAATCGCAAATTAATTAGGTACACATGAATAAACTATCCTTTGGTACATCAGCCTTAACTGATTTGCCATGCATCAAGAACAAAATTCATTAAATGATTCAGACTTCCTTTTAGTATCATTACAGTTACTGTATTCAACCGTTGCTAATATGATTTTATAACACAAAGTCTATGAAGTACAGGTGCTCTCGACTGGTGGCGTTCATTGCTGATCACCTATAACCTGACACAGTATGCAAAAATTTAGTTGGCATTAACAACTTAAGAAATCTATAGAAAGAAGCTGAAGAGTAATGTATTAAAGTATTTCTGTCTATTGCTTGTGAATCAAAATAATTATATTTAATACAATCACACTTGTAAATTTTAATTATACATGTATTTAATACAATCACACCAGTAACTTTTAATTATATTCAATACTAGATACTAGTAAACCTAAATTATATACATGTATAATTCAGTCACATTTGTACATTTAAATGAAAAAAGATTTAAAATGAAAATGAATTTAAATTTAGGTACTTTTAATTGCTAGTATGACCTTTTGTAGAAGTGAATGAATAGTGAATAGTAGGAAGTAAATGCTTTCCAAATGAATATGAACAATAGGTAACACGAATAATGATATTATTTGTATGCATGAAATACATAGTACGTAACTTAAAAATCGCTAAAGATAAAATGGAAATTATTGATTCGCTTGTTTCTACCTAAACGCAATCATTGTTCACTTTTACCGTTAATTCTTTCAAATTCAGTGCATGTTCATTTTATTACAACTTCATTGCATTAAGATCTCCCTATTTTAGAAATAAAGTATCAATTGACATTAATGAATGTAGAGATATTATTACCTTTGCCATTTTTGAGTAAAATGGTTCATTCAAGATAAGCCACATGCGCCCTTGCAAACGACGCCACCCTCTTGCACTTGCGCTCATATTCATCAATTTGAGTTTCTCTGCACGTGCTTTATTTTCATCAAATTCAAGAATCTGAAAGCACAATCAAACAAATATTTTAATATCAAGTATTTCGATTATTTTCCGCTATGTTTATTTTTCTTTTCAAATTCCACATGAATTTGAAGTCGAATATTTACGTCGTCTCGTTTCCGTTTGGACCATTTGAAGCAAAAAAAACATGCATTGAAGATAGTTTTTTATAAAACAAAAAGACAAAGGCTGTCTATGGGAAATTCTGAAAAAAGTAAATATTGGATTATTTGTTAGATGTTATGAATAGAGATTTTAAATATAATACAAAGAGTTGAAATGTCTATCTCAAGTGATTATTTAATGCATGTCCATTGAGTAACTGGAAATAAAGCAGAAATTTTGTGTCGAACTTCTGGTCACGATAATGATTGACATTTATACTTGAGACGAGTTGATAACGCAGCGGAATTTGTTCTAATAGATTCCGTATGCATTCCTGTATACTAGTATGCGATTATTACGTTACATTAATCAGTCGTATATTTCAAATATAAACTCTTGTTTAACTAAACGATTTGGTTTTGTTACTGATTATGAAGTGTTGGTGAGCGAAGACCGAGTGTCGCGTGATAATTCAACGTGTTAAATTTACTGTAATCTTATTTATTGATCACCTTGTATAATCATTGACAAACGTAGACGGAGATGTTACAGATTTGTGCATATTAACAATAATATTGCGGGCACTTTTTCATATAAGCTTTATAGCAGACCTTTGCTGATTTTGATTATAAATATGATTTTTGTTGCCATAATTGCAATTATTAAAATAGTTTTACTTAATATCACGTTCTGTTTTTCTAAAAACAATACAATACATGGAGAGAATATGATAACATAATAGGTTTTAATCTCTTGATAATATTTTGATACATAACTGCATAATTTATAACCAATTAACTGAGACGCCCTTAGAGATTCAAGATTAGATGATGAGGTAGTCCTGATATTGATAATAGTCACGCACCTGTTTAGATAGTATGGTTTATGCCAAACATTAAAATAACTTTAGCATTTGAAAACACACACGCATCAGGTACTCGTAAACGCACTTCTGGGGAAGATAATGGAGCATATTATAACTATTTAAAGGAAGATCACTGAGACCTTAAAGCTTAAAATTTGCAAAGTATAATTAAGAAATATACTCAGAAATAGATTTAAATCGTATAACTGTACGATTCTTATTCCGATTTGAATTTTTGGTCAATTTTCACAACAAGAATTATTATTATGGAAAAAAAGTAAAAAGCGGATAAAATGAAATTTCGCACCCAAGTTTTTGGTCTAGAACCACATAAATGGATCAATAATCTATGAAAATGATCGCCAGTCCCGGCATGTCAATAAAACTCAGTCACTTCAAAAGGTTTCTTGATGTAGTTAATATAAAACAATTCAAAAAATATTATGTAATGATAGTGTAAAAGAATATGAAATGAAAGAAAGATAGCATCTCGTCTATATTGCCAATTAACATATAAACCAAAAATATGACATTAAGAATTGTATGTTTCCAGCATAGTATGCCATACCAGACTTATAATTGTAGAGTTACCTTCAAAACCTCGCTGTCGTCAAAATAAGCAATATATTTAGTGCAACAACATTTTGCATTTTTATACAAACCTCGTCCACTCCCCAGAATTCTAGCTCAGTACGGCAAATGTAATAAATACTTCTTCCAACCTCGTCCACTCCCCAGAATTCTAGCTCAGTACGGCAAATGTAATAAATACTTCTTCCATGTAACCTTTAGTGCATCAACAATAAAATACAGGAAATAATGTCTCCTGTTATTTCAAACATTTGCACGTGCAACAAAAAGTACGATATTTTTCTTAGAAACATCTGCTATATATACCTATCGAATCAATATTTCGAAGTGACCAATAGTGTGACGTGCATTTACCTAGATTCTGAAAATGTGTTACTTTAAACGGGATATAAATGTGTGTGCCTTACACAAATTGCGAACGCGCGGGAAAAAACTTAATCCGATTGATTTTCATAGCAACACATGCGTCGTAGAAAGGTCTATACAAGTAAATGAAAATAAATGCTTTGCATGATGATTATTGACAAAAAATAACGTTCCTCAACATATATTGATATAACAACATAAATATTACCTTTGTTATAAAGAGTGGGGACCATTAATTTAAATAAATAATTATAATGTTCTATAATAAAAGGCTACATAAATACGATAGTGTTTGATTTCACATTAAAGTCAAGCAAATGATCAAGGATTAAACATTATTGTCATTTAAATAAAAAAGTATGGCATTTCATCGAATCAAGTTAGATACAGATGAATGAAGAACTATTCCTAAAATATATGATCAAGAATAATCAGACATGCCTAAAACTAAATTCAGCTTTAACTTAATTACTCACTTTCAAATTACATTAATCTTTGAACAATGTTATTAATTTTCTTAAGTGCTCATAAATGCATACCATTCAACAATTCCTGATTTTTATATTTTATAACACTGTATTAAATATAGTTACAAGTTACAAGTTTACAAGTTTTATTCATATCAAACAAGAAGGTCAACGACCAATGTGGCAAAATGTACAGTACAATTACAATTATGGTAGTTAACATACTAGCATATAAGATATATATGAATAATATTAACGAACATATTTCTGTTCTAGTTTACGTAACAGTAAACATAACTTATTAAGCAACAAGTAGATTAATTTCATTTGAGTCTTGCATTTAAAATAGTTAACATAATTACAAACATATAGAATAGAAACTGGTGACAGATATAAATACAAACTGTCCAAAATACATAGATAACTAAGTGATTGAAGCAGTTAACCGAAAATATATCACATTTAGAAGTAAATTACGAAATACTGGTATCATGAGTAAGATAATATATTATCTAGGAATGCCATATTTGTCAGCCTTGTCCGAAAAACGAAATGCGACAAGATTGACATATGGTAAAACAAAATGTTGCTTAACAATATCACGTATACACTAAAATAAAATATATACTTACTAATTTCATTTTACAATTACACCAGTCGCACAGTTTACAAAGTTTTCTGCACCTTAATTACGTTAAATGAAAATAGTGTTGTTCCTAACATTAAAGGCTTTTTCAATATAACATGCAAGACATTTTATAATAGTATCATTTTTAGAGTTCATAAGAGCAATCAATTTTATCATATTTGGATGTCTCCAATAATATGGAGATAAATACTGCTTTCTTAGGTTAATATATCTATTACATTGTAATACAAAGTGAAACTCGTCATCTAAACATTACATTCAGAACAATTTCGATTATCATGGAAAGAGGAAATTCACGCGATTTTTCTGCAATCAAAAGTGCTCTGGACTTGTAACCTGATTTAGTTTATAGTTTATCTTTTTTTTTTCTCAAAAGAATGTAACGGTAACATAGATAGTTACAAACATGTTGCAAGTTTAAAACATTGCCTGTATGCTAAGTCGTCTCTACAAAAATTAAATTTTGTTTTATGTTTTATATCAAACACATTAAATCCAGTAGAAAATGTCTAATTCACAAATTCATCGGGAATATGTAATAGCAAAAAAATAGTTGATAAGAATTTGATAAGAAAATGTTTGCCGTCATTATCAATGGCATTTTTACGGATAGTAATTATTCCCTTATATGTATATGAATGCCAGTGTAATGAATAAAGACGTGTCTTCTCTTTTTGCAGCAATTTTAAAAAGCCAGTAAGGAAATGACAGTTCAAATTATTGCCCTGTACATGATTCCATCTAGGAGCAACTCACATTGACATATGTCAGGTACATGTATGTTATATCTCTTGTACAATATTTTCCAGCATTTATATTTTATAAATTATCAGATATGAATGATCGTGAAAATCAAAAGCCCTAGTATTATTAATTAAAGTCTTCATTTTAAATTATATTACGTAATTGATATAACCCGCTTGGGATTTCCCTACGTGAGCATTTATTGACATGTATGTATAAAGAGAAACTTTGCCATTAGATGCAAGGCTATTACAACAGAAACACAGACAGTGGGTTCGGTGCGCGGATGCGCGTGTGTGTGTGTGTATGTGAATGCGCTCTCGTGCGTGTGCGCGCGCGTGCCGTCACGTGTGCGTGTTATTTTCCTGCTTTGTTTAAATTAACAGCTGACAACATTAGCTAAGTCATCAAGAAGTCTGCTTCTTGACCCAGTCAACAGGTATTCATTTCTTTATAGGGTAAATGTAACAAACACTGTTTAGCTCCTCGCTGGCAATCAAACTTTTCTATAATGTGTGAATTGTTTAATTTCATTTTGTAAATCTGTTCTGGTACTTTCTATACTTTAGTTTATCAGTGGAAAGTTATTCAATAATAAGATTCGGTAAACAATCCAACTGTATTTATTGTATTGTAAATCAATTAACACACTATTAACTACTCAAAAATTAAAAAGCCTACAATACCTACAGTTTAGACTTTCAATAGACATTCTTCATTGCCAGATCTTAAATGTTTATTTTTCTACATTTAACTTTGTTTGTCAAATAAAAGTTAAAAACAAACCCTATATCACAAATTTCAATACAACTGTCACAAAGAGAGAGGTTTTCGTTTTGTGCTTGTAGGAATGCGAACACCATTGTTCCAGATTGAAATTATAGAATTTGTTTAACTACGAGAACACTTTCATTACGTATTTTCTCGTGATATGCAAACGTATTACAACAATTACAACTTTGCTTTTTAACAATGAAAATTCTAGGTTCAAAGGAAACACATTGTACATGTATTTTATTTATTAAAGAACGAGGTTCGAATAATTTAGGATGGAGTTGGTTGTCTTTTAAAACTATAAATATATTTACGGCTAATGGAAGTTTAAAAAAATCTCAGAGGTATGAAATTTTAAGTGTAACTTTTTTTCTCTCCAAAATTATGTCAAATAAGATATGAAAGGTGACGTTAGATATAGGGAGTTTAGCATTATTTGCTGTTATAGTGTTTTTTATCGTTTGGGTCAATAGTGTTAAAATGAGTATGAATAAATGTGTATGTAATAGATCAGAATGATACCACCCATCAGAAACGCCTACTTAATAAAATAACTTCAAATCATATTACAGAATAACTGTATAATTGTAATAATCAGTTTATCAATACAGAATAACTGTATAATCGTAATCATTATTGTACTGCATAATTTCGCTAATATCACTCTATTTCAATAACTGGGAAAAATGGTCAGGCGCAAGATATGATATTAATAATCGGACTCAATTTAACACCATTGACCCAATTAGTTAATTTATATTTTCCCAGGATTACTTGATTTCAGTTTCATAAAACAATGCAAATGCAATTATATAGCAATAATGTAAAACATGCAATAACATTTTTTAAAATATAATAAACCAAAGAAAGAAATATCTCGTTAATATTGCTAATTATTGCTAAAACAAATAAAATAAGAATATGACATTGAACAATTTTATATACCTATATAAACAAATACACGTTTCATTCATAGAATTATATATCAGAATTACAAATTGTAGTGTTACCTTTAAAACTTCGCTGTCGTCAAAATAAGCAATATATTTAGTGAAACAACATTTTGCGAGGCAAACCTCGTCCACTCCCCAGAATTCTAGCTCCTTTTTAAATGACGACGGACAAAGATCACTGGGTAGGTGCAATTCTCCTCCTTGTTCATAATATAAAATACTTTGAAAAGCCGCAGGATGTCGCTCAATATATATCTCGGTATCCAATTGATGTAAGTTTTCTCGAAACTTGACAGGAATATTTTTCTTTATAGATGTCCAAGTATTTTCGGAGACTTCATACCTAGTACCACTAATATTCAGAATGATAGTTTTTAATCTTTCCTTAGTCGGACTAACAGGTTCGTCTGTTCTGATTAATGATTTGTTCATGTTTTTTTGTTTTTGTTATTTTTTAAAACGACCTTTTCATCGTAGTTCAAAATCAAAGAATATGTCCATTGTTTGGTTGTATTTTTTAAACAAATCGATTGTCATCTAGTTTTTATCCAAATTTTACGAAAACACACGAATAGTTTTTAAAAGTCTTAAATTCACCGACCTCTGCTAGAGATGAAACATAATAAATACTGCCTATCCTCAATGAACAATCGTCTATACGCTACTGAAACCGATGCATGCGCAATAGCTCCTATTTTTCACCACATCGCAGGTCATTCTATTGAATATTTTCAATTAACAGTCAACCAATACTTTCGTTTGCAAACTTTGTTATATTTTTACGTTAAGGTAAAATACTAAATACGCATTCGGAAAAAAATCATGATTTCATTATAGATTACTCTGTAATGTCAATTTCAGGAGAAGTGAAGTCAAAATAAACTTACTTTACTATGTTTGCAATTATTTGTGAATAACTAATTTTCAGTCATTATCATGATTATGCAAATTATTAAACAATTATATCTACACAATATGTTTTGCTACGCTTCAGTGAGTAAACATATTGCACTGTTCCTCATACAAGGGGAATACCTCGAAAGATATTGCAACAGGACAGCTGATTAACTAACAAACACAAATGTAATATCGAATGAGGGTTGTTTGTCACAGGTTTTAGTTATCGTCCCTTTAATAATAACCAAAAATAGAGCAAAAAAACTTATTTTCAGAGAGAGACAAAATATGCGATACTCAAAAATGTCAGATTTCCGTCTTCAGGCATTAAAGACAACCCATGACCAAATGCTTAATCAGAATTCAAAATATCTCTCGTTCTGGTACACTTATATTTTCCGACACATAAATTTAATTCAAATATATTTGAAAAAAACAACACTAGTTAAATGTTCATGCTGCACATCAAAGACGTCGCAAAATGATGTGAACAGTCACAGGTAATGTACCAAATCAGCCTTGACAATTGTTCTCTATTACAGTTGAATATCCGAAGCACTCATCAATTTTTCTTCAAGTTATTGGTATGTGCTCGTTGTTTAATAATTAAGTTGCATATTTTTGTGAAAAAGTAGACCCTAATGCTTAAATTAACAAAGTAATGCCATGTCTGAAATTCTGAATTTTTTTCTATTGCGACAAAGATTGAAAGGTCTGGTCGAAGCAAAATAAATTAGATAAGAATTAAAAATGAAATGATTGATATACTTTAAATAAATTCAAGACAAAGACAGGGGTAAAGAAAAATATATCTTTTGTGCCGAGAATATGTCCATTTGAATATTGGTGCAAATATGCATAATGATTTTGAAGACGACCCTTGTTATTTTACAAATAGCAAACAAATGTCTGAAATATCAAATAATAATTATGAATAAAATGTTATAAATAATCAATTCTTAGTTACTAGTACGTATTGTTTACTTATTTATATTTATAAAAGATTTATACGAAAGCCTGGGAGCATCATTTATTAATTAAACCTTAGTATTTATTAATTATAATTTAAAGGTTATAACTTATTCATAAATATTTATTACTTATCATTTAGAATTTATGAACCTAAAACAAGTTGGAAGAAGAGGAACATAATAGAAGCAGACAACCTAAGTTATTATAAACAGATTAGCAGTATAAGTAACGAGGACAAGGTAAATGAATTTGTTTAGTAATGTGATATTCTTAATAGGTCTTGGGCAACGGCTTTTATAATAATTTGTAAACAGGACAAACAACGAAACATGCAATATTGTACTACTACGTCATGTCAAATGGTGTTGTGCGACCTCTGTTTGCAATAATTATAATGGCATGTTACCTGAAAAGTTAAATGTTACTGCCCTTTATCCTATCCGGCATTTACTTGCAATTCTGAAAATACTTTTTTACCATACTTAATGGCCAGATTGAATTTGATTTTAAGATTATAGCTTGTTACCATGACAACCAAAAGAAAACTCTTTGAACCCACAAGGTCAAGAGCCTAGATATTTTGTATTTAGCGTCGTCTTATGGTTCTTAATAAAGATTGTTCAAATTGTGCCCCTTGGGTCAACCTAGGGTTTTCTTATTCTAAGTATATACATGTATAGACTGTATACGGAAAACTTCTTCTCTGAAGTCAAAAGGCCAAGAGCTTTGGTATTTTGCATTCTGGTTGTTAATGAAAAATTTTCAAATTATGTCCCTGCAAAATTGACCCCACCTAATGGTATCATATTTTACATAAACTTATTTAAGGAAAAATTTCACTGAAAAGTTTCTCTAAAACCAAAAGGGCTAGAGCTTTGATATTTTGCATAAGGCATCATCTTATGATTGTCTATGAGTCTATGAAAATGGTTTAAATCACACTACATGTTTATTTAGTTGAGCGTATCAGGGCTACATGGTCCTCTTGTTTTAGTGATTTAGTGATTAAAATGTTGAATGGTATTTTGAAGTATTTCTAATTTATTTAAAAATCTTGCTTTGTTTCTAAAATAATGATCTACTAAGAAACCTTTTTGTCATATCTTTTTGTTATACAATGTATAAACAAATCTCCAACTTTAAAGCAGTGTGAAAAGTTAAGACCATGTTAATGGTGAAATCATTTATCATATTTATCAACATTTCATGATTTGTAAAAATATATGCCTTATAAAATAGTACCAGTGAAAAGATTGATTTAGGATATTCATTTTGCATGATTACAGACAGGGGCTGTGGGTACAAAGGACATAGATTTGACCTATGCCATACAGTAAATAACAAAATCCAAATATCCATATTTTCGAAAAAAATCAACATATTATTATATACTAAGGGACGATTATGCTTATGAAAAAAATGTAAATGATTAAACTTGGTTTGAATATATATATAGAATAGTTGTTGATGTACTGCCCTTGATTAGAAACTTTCCATTCTGAATAACACATTCAGACCGCACAAAGTTAGTGCTTTCACACTAGCACATAGTCAGTGTGAAGTTGTTTTTAAAAGTAATTAAAAGGATTGATAACTTTTAATCATAAAGTAATAAAAAATAGATTTTAAATATGAATATAATTATAAAAAAATAAATTATAAATAATACATTATAAATAATAAGTAATTAATAATAAGTTATAAATAAAGGTTAATGCCAATATACATATGATTTATTATGGTGTCCAAAACGTGTTGTATATTATATGCGTGTCATTTTTTCACGTGAAATATAGTTGACCTTTCTGTACTTTTTATCTTGAACTTGTCTCATCTTTAATACATCCAACTTCTGCTTTCAGGGAAACACAATACCAGGGTACAATACCAGAAGTGGATGTGGGAGAGGTCGACGATCAGAATTCAAAGCTAAGTTGGGATGGCAGCATTACAGAAACAATGCATATAGAGAAGTTACACTTGAACAATATTATGCAAAGCTGACCAAGACATAACTGTCAATCATATTGTTGAGGTAGGGAAAAAGATGTTTTTCATGGAAGGTTACAGTCGCTTTGGTCACATAGATAATATTGTCAATTTGCTTGATTGATCAACGTGGAGAAATAATCAATGAATTCACTGATTTGAATGGAGCCAAATGTTCCTATGCAGAGTATGTATAAGCACAAGGGATGTTCCAATCCAAGTGTCATTTATATGTCAGAACAAAGCCTTTTGAACCCAACTGTTGACACTCTGTATAGTGGGGAGGAAGCAGAATCAGAATATGTGAATAATTCATTTTTGCTTTTAAATCGAAGTGTTGAATCTACTTCTATTGTGTAAGAAACGATACATCAGTGTATTATTTCCGATGATAAGTTATGCAATATGTATATAGAGCAAAATTTAAGCTGCAACTGTATGTCCGTCCCGCTCCAAAACATTTTGTCGTGTTGTTCCAAAAGTACATTTGTTATACTTCACAGGAATATTGATCAGCATTTATAGTTGTGCATGTGGGATTTCGTATGTGGGTTAATTCAAGGCTTTTGGAGTTATTGCTCATGACTTATAATTATAACTAATATCCAATTGTCATAAGTGTGAGGGGCATGCTGTGTCCTTTTGACACATTTCTCGTTGGAATATTGTTTGTGTTTATCAGTAGCCTTGAATTAAACATTTAGAAATACTTGTTGTTTCATTTTACTTTGACGTTGTAAGAAAAGCGGATTTGTCAGCTAAGCTTGAATATTTGAAAATAAGCTAAAGCTTCTACGTTAAATGATCACATATGCTTGTTTTGTTTAGAATTAACCCAATGTGATTTTTACTCCTTTCCATTAATAACTCATTTGTGAAACTTTTCACAGATTGATGAATAATACGCGTATAGGTATATTAGCCAAGCTCCTTAACTCTGATATGCAATTTCATTAAATAATGCCAATTTTCTTCTTGAGTTTTTACCAAACTTAGTCGCCACTTAATTATTGTGACAGCTACGTTTTTGTACTTTTCATTCTTTTAATTCAATGTGTATTACTACCCCTATGGTGTTAACACCATTGGCACTTAATTATTGCAGTCAGTCTGTCATTTGTATAGCTTGATAAGGTTTGATTCATGAAACAGGTCAATGTTAGAAAGCTTAAAAGCTTAACACTGAATTCGACTATTTGCAATGTGGTCATACCATGTGACTTTTCGGGAACGGTACACGCAGATTTTTACCCGATTCAGGTATGTTTTTATTAATAATTCTAATCTCGAGTGCGATTTTTTTAAGCTTGGGTAGAGGGGACGGTACACACTCCTTTATCACAACAAGCGACTTTTAGTAAATCGTCGACTTTTTTCACTGTTTCGTAGAAAAAAGAATGCTAATTACTTAGATTTACTAAGTCCAATATATCTAGTGCTGTGATGTTAAGCATATTTTCATAAAGTTATGTTTAAATGGTACGGAACACACTGTTTTATTTTAAAGGATTAGGAACACGCAAATTTTCTGTCATTTTGAATAAATCTGAAAAATAATTATATGAAAATTTGCTTTTACTAATAATGTGAGTGTTTTACCTTAATGTTTTACATA